AAAACTATTTTATTACTTAAATTATGACTCAAAATTCTCTAAACAATTTTGTGTATCTAATGTAAAAATATATATATATAAAAAAAAAAAAAAAAATTCCAAAAAAAAAAAAAAAAAATCCTATCTGTGCAACATGGCTTTGTGTTTTTTTATCATTCAAGAGTTGAATTTATTAACATTTACAAAAAAACATAATCTTAATAAATAGTTACATCATTTTCTCTTATTATCACAAACCAAGCATAAATTTTAAAAATTAGTTTTGAATATTACCATATATACAATTTTAAACAAATAAAAACAAAATATATTTGACAAGTGTTGATATCAGCACTCAATACAACCAGTGCCGGCACAGAATACAGACAGTACTGGACATTGTTGTGAAAACTATTAAACACAAAATAAGATTTAAAGACCTTTAAAAATTATTTTAAAAGAATTATAATTTACGAAAAAAAAGTACAGAGCTAATAAAGAGCTACTAGGTCTCAAAATAAGAACAAATGTTTAAACCATTGCAAGCCAAACCTGCTAGTTCAGCCAAGAGCTTATTATCATTGATCAAGCATAAATCATAGTGAAGAAAAAAAAAAGTAAAAATATATCATGTTGAAAAATTTTTTTTGTATATTTTTGTGAACTTTTTGAAAGTCCTTGAAACTATTGTTTTGTACTCTGCATAAATATTACAATTTAAATTGCAGGCCATGTTAAAAAATAGATTTTATTAAACTTTATTTTTGGACACAAAGCTTTAAAATAACAAACAAAAAAATTGCTGATGATAAAAGATGTTTTTTTTGTTAAGTAAAAGCGATATACTTTGATATAATTATACAACATACTGTTTCATAAAAAATCAAGTCAAACCAAACTTCTATTAAAATTATATTAAACTTAAAATACCATTAGGGTAAAAAAAATATAAATGATATTTTTGTTTAATTGCTAATATACTCATTTTAAATATGCAATGGTATGTTAAACTAGGTTTAAGTTTGGCTTTTATATAATTTACTTGTTTATTGTTATAAAATATTGCAAGAGTTAAATAGTTTCTTTGTAACTAGTTACTGGTATACTTTATTTTACTTGGTCATACTAATGTTGAATTTTTTAATTAGTCATACTAATGTTGAATTTTTTACTTGGCCATACTAATGTTGAATTTACAGTAACATCAAGTTTAAGTCTCATAGTCAACTCGATCATAGACGATTTAAATTGAAACAAAGTGGTTTATAGTAGGGTTGTTAACCGGAGGATTTCGTGCAATTCCGGAAAAACAACTTTCTTTCGTAAGGAGATTGAGAACTAAGAATTACATTTTTTCGTACCGAATGTTACAAAACATTTAAAATCGCCGATGTTCATTTCGCAAAAGCCACTTCTGAAATTTAGCATTTCGCAAGTTGACATACGAAACAAAACTATTTTGCAACATACGAAAGTAGCGGTTTCGGAAGTCGCACTTGCGAAACAAACATTTTCGCCAAACGACGTTTTGAAGTCTATACAGAAAATTTGTTTGCCAGACTAATTTTAATTGTAAAAATTAACATCTTTAAATCCCAAAATGTTTATAATGAATTTTTATTTTCAGTATAATAACATATTAAATTTTTATGGTTTTATTTTTAGAAATATTGATAAAAAATAAAATTTCTTTCGAAACGAAAGTGTTTCGGATCACAACATACGATATCTTAACGGAAATAAACTTATGAAACGTGCCATAATAAATATATACAACGAAGTTTTTTGATCTCATTACGTATATTAAAAATAAGAATGATGGGTAGGAATATACATGTTTTTTTTTTTTTAAAGCATATGAAATTTTTGAAACAGGTTCGAATATGCTTAAGCAAATAGTAAAAAGAGGCTCAAAAATATGCTTTAGCTTAAGCATATTTCTGATAAAATATACCTATTTCAATAATTTCTAAAAGTGTGCACGTTACTAAAGTTCTAGCAGATTTTAAAGGTATGTAGAGTCCTGTTTGAATACGCTTTTTGAAGTATAGATCTTAGAAAATATTGTTTTTTAATTTTAATAAGATATAAATTTAAGTATAAGATTGTATAGTTCAATCAGTTAGATACGTGACAATTCGCCGCAGAGATCCGGGTTCGCATCCCGCAGTCATTGTAACTTTTGTTCATCAAACTCTTTTTACTTAAGATAGCATTTTTTGACCTCCATGTTCTATATTACAGATCTTTTGTCACCTTCACAATAGTGACAACCTCTCTTCTGTTAGTTATTCTTTTAAGATTGAGTTCATTATGCTTAATTCAACACGTTTCCCTTGCTTTACTAAGTTCTACTTAAATTATGATGAAATGCACGTAAAACAACTTTTTCAAATAATATAAATCATTTTGCTTTAAATCTTTTGCTTTTTGTACTAGAAATCTGGCCTAAATACTTTGTAATAATTTCTAGCTAACTCTGAGTCTAATATAACCATTTCTGAATATAATTTCCTTGAGGCTCCTACAGCCTATTGTGTTCCATTAAAAGTTACTAGTTTTTGAGTCCAGATATTAATTATAAGCATCTAAAGGTTCACATTACTATTCATTTTCCTGATATATAGAATCCTATTTGCATTCTTAATTATATAATAAATATTACTATTCACTTAGTTGAATGAACGTATAGCTCATTCAGTTAAGACATTTGGCCGCGTAGATCCAGGTTCACATTCCGCTGTTTCACATATATTTCTTCTCTTTTTACTCTTTCTGATATCATTTACCTTTAGAGAGATCTTTCGTTCTTTATAATAAAGTATTTAATTGTTTATCACACATCCTTTTTATACTTTTTAAAAAGAAAGGCATACTGTTTATCTGTTCATTGAGAGTCCAACTTAACGGGATTTTACTGTATATATATATGTATATATATATATATATATATAAATATATACATATATATACAGTAAAATCCCGTTAATGTATATATATATATATATATATATATATATAATATATATATATATATATATATATATATATATATATATATATATATATATATATATATATATATATATATTAGGTATATTTGTATAAACATTTGAAGAATCATTTGACAACATTTTTTTATAATTTTATTATTTATTATTTAATCTGTTAACAGCTAATATCTTAAATATATCGTAACATAAAATCTTTTGCGTCTTTTTCGTAACTACACATTCCGGAATGCTTTTCCCGAAGGAACTATTTCATAAATATTCTTACGAAATGATTTGTTTTGCAAGTTTTCTTTCGCAATGCTTTATTACGGAATTTTGTTTACTATTTATATTTTCGTATGGCGCGTTACGAAATGTGCATTTTTGCATGTGCAACTTCCGCAATAACAATTCTATTACGGTAGATAAAGATGCGAAATTTTCGCAAGTTTTGTTTTTCGGCGAACAACCCTAGTTTAAAGTAAATAAAAATTAACTGCATTTTGTACTTCAATGTATTTTTTTTTTTAATTTTATTTCTATTTAAAGATAATATCCAGACTATAACTCACCATATGTGATTGCATCTTGTAATAAATTTAATAAATTTCAAATATTGTTGGTATTTTTATGCATATAGTTACTGTTAAAGCATGAAACTTTGAAAATAAACAAAAAATTAAAAAAAAAAAAAAAAAACTTGCCAAAAAGTAAAAATGAATAGTAAAAATAAACCAATTGTTGACCTGGCCATAAACGGCTCCATGTCCAAAAATATTTCCAAGATCTTCAGGCCTCCAAGTACTGTGATTAAACATTTTTGAATAACTAGTTACGTTAAGAGAATTAGTTGGCATTAGTTTAAAGAGGTCAGTTCAAAATCTATAATTGATTAAGGCTGGCAAAGACCAAATTTCAAACATCCATCCATTTTAGTTATGTTTGGCCTTGTTTCATCTGATGGTCTCTAAATGACTCTGATTTTCATCAAATCTGGTCAGAAAGTTGACACCAATGAGTAGATTCAAATCCTGGAAAATCATGTCAAGTTCTGGATAAATGACCACAATTCTCCAGACAATGTGGTGTTCCAGCAAGATGGAATACACCACATATGGTCCATAAACCCTGCAAAAACACTAGTCAAAAGAGTTATAGCCTCTTGGTTCTCAAAAAAATTTAGTTCACCTTTTAAAATATAAACTAAATTGGTCAACAATAAAAAAATTAGATAAATTTAAAGATGTAATTTTTGTTTCAATTAAAAAACATTTACCTTACACTTTAAAATTCATTTGTTTTGAGTTATTTACTTATATGCAGGTAATATTGTTATTCTTTCTACCATTAACTAAGTTATTGAATTGTTCTTGATAACATAATCATTAATAATTCATTTTACAGATAACTGGTAGTTATGTAATATAATATTGCAACCTTTATGTAGCATAATACTTAAAACATTGTTTGTTTGTTTTTTAATTTTTTGTAATATGCAATAACATATATTAAAATATTGCAAACACCTTTGAAAAAAAAATTGCATTAATTTGTAATAAAATTATTTGTTTAAAATTATTTATATAAAATTGTAAAATAATTTATTATTGCAACCTTATGTTTAATAAAAAACTCAATACATATTTTTTGTATTATTTTATGTAAAGCTAAAATATTCCCAATTGATTACATATATGATTATTATATTACAATATTATATTACCTTATTATATTACAATATATTATACCACAATATTGCATAGTAAAATATTGTTAATACCAAATATTGTAATAATTTGTAAATTATGCATTTATACATTTACATATTCTTGTACTGCTTTTATTTCTTGATTAAATTAAAGAATCAAAAATGGTTTATTTGATTTTAACAAATATTTTGCTTTAATTTTAAAGATCAATAAAAACAAATTTAAATATTTTTACTTTATAAAGTATTTTTATAAAAACAAAAATTATACAAATGCAAAGGAATAAATTTCCAACAACAACAACAACAAAATTACTAACTTTGAATCATTGATAGCCATTATATTGGTAACCAATGTAAATGGATAAGTGACTATGCTGGCAATGTACTAAAAATGTAAATAAAATATTTTTAAACATTTTTTTCAAATCATTCATGATTATATTAGTATGATTCAATAACAGAAAAAGGTTTTTTTTTAAATTATTAAAGAAGGACAGAAAAATTAAACATCCTTCTTCTAAATATTTATTATAAAAAAGTAAATAATTATAACAAAACAAGGACTTAATCTAAAAATTTATACTTTTTTTTTTTTTAATGTTTTTATTATATAATACCTCATTTGTATTATTATTCACATGATATATGTCATGAGATTTGATTTACTTTGGATTAATTTGGTAAAAAAGTTATAAATAAAAAATATTTATGACTTTTTTACCAAATATTTATATTGATCGTCTAAACTTATTTAAATCTAAATTTATAAAAATAATAAATGTACATGAACGATGAACTAATCATTTAAAACACAAATTTTTATATTTCAGTTTTATTTGCTTTACTTTCCGAATATATTTGCTATAAGCAAATATATTAAAAAAATTTTTTAATTAGTTATGTTTTTTGAGCTCAAAATTAAAATAAAAATATTTGTACTTTTAGGCTGTATGGAGAGCCAGAAAAGCAAACAAGAGAAAGTACAGGTAAACATGAATTAGCTGAAATCAGTATTAGAATCAGAAATTAGCCCAGAAGATCCAAGGAAAAGCCAAAAAATGACAGTAAAAAAACAGACTTTGCTTGGAGCTTACAAGTGAAGATGAGTAAAGTAAAGCATTCAAAGCAAAGAATTATTCGTATAATAATAGTTTGCCTTATACACCATGAAGTAAAACTGACATTAAAACAATCTTTGAAAAACATGAACAGGCTAATGTACTCTTATCCCAATCGCTGAGTGGTAGGAGGGCATCGCACCAAGAAATATTATATTTTAATTTTTAATAACTTAATTATATTGTTCATAAAAAAAAAATTATTTACCAAAAAATTAATCTAACCTGAGAAATACTATGAGTGTAACTCCGAACTTCGGGTATTTGAGAATACTACAAAAAGAAATTTATTGAAAAATAAATTTTATCTAAATCGCATTATAAGTATAAACATTAAAAAAAAAATACAAAATAATATTAATTTACTCTCAAAAAATTTTTTTAACAAAATATATTTTAAATTAAAACAAAAACAACTTACTTCTTCTGATATAATATATTTTTGAACACAAAAATTCATTGATTTACATAACCACAACAAAAAAAGTTCTCCTAAAAGGTGCGGAACTATCCCACTACAAGCAATAGAAAATTATTTGTCACAAAAAAGAGTTCATTTTGTAAACTATATAAACAGTTTTTATAACATAAATATAATAAATATTGATACTATAATTTTGAATATAACAAGAAAGTCAATGGGATATAATAAAATGTGTAAAAATTTTCATTTTTAACCTTAAAATAGAAGTTATGAACAAGAAGTTATTACATCCTTAGCAATAAAAATAATGAAATAAATTCATAATTTATTACGTGATGCCTACAATTTCAGGCAAAAATCATTTTGTCAATATGGTACCAATAAATAAGCTATTGGAACAAATAAAAATATTTTGTAAAGAAATTATAGGCTTTATAAGTACATATATATATATATATATATATATATATATATATATATATATATATATATATATATATATAATATATATATTTTTTTAACATTATTAAAGGCTGTTTTGCATAAGCGGTTCGAAGTTTCCTTTCTAATCCAGGAAGTTAATGATGTCATTTGCGCATGTGAACTAGCAAGATCAGGCCAAGTATTCTCTATTTTTGTGATTCTTATTGATGAAAGGTACTAGGTAGGAGGTGCATACAGAAAATTGTTATGTACCTTTCTTTAATAGCCTAACCACTTTTCACCAGGAATGATTTTGACACATCTTCGGGTGATATAATCACAACAACTTTTCTTCAAACTTCTTTTTAATTCAGTATTTGACACTAGCTGGAGTAGTTGAAACATTTCTTGAGTAAAAACTCATCGTCTAAGATCTATTCAAGATTCCTAAAATTACGGTAAAAATATTGACACAAAAGTTTGATTTGTGCAAGCTGATCATTAATACAATATGGATTCATCTTTTTTTTTGGTATAGAATAGTTAGTTTTAAGTGTATGACTAATATGTGAATGATTACAATTAAATTTTTGAGCCGCTTGATGCTGAGATACGCCATGATAATGGTTTCAGCTGGTTTGTATTTTTTTTTTTTAAATATTCAATTTTTCCTTTTTTTTTATGGGGTGGTTTTATTTATATTGGGTTGTTTTTTTTTATGTTGGGGTCGTTTTAGGGACTCAACTATCAGTGAGGCGCTCGAGAACATATACGGATGTATACGGTTGACCTTAGCATTTGTTTTTTGAAAATGTTTTAAAATTTGTTTTTGAAAATGTAAATATTTTAGGTTTATCCAAGTGTATATTTGAAATTGGAGAATTCGATTTCAGAGTTTTTTTTTTAATATTTTTTTAATTGGAACCATTTTAAAAGCTGTAAGCTTTTAAAAAGAAAAAACTAATGTGATTTAAATAAATTCTCTTTAAAATTTAAATACATTCAATTATTTAAGATATAAGATCGTAGGCATCATACATTAGTATAAATTTTAGGCATCATATATTAGTATAGATTTTACAACTAAAACTAATGCATTTTAAAAGTTTCAAGATAAAAAATTAAACAATTTTATTTGATTAGATTCAGTGCTTCCATGCTGGAAAAATCAAAATCAAGAATTTTCCAATCAATTTAACCTGATTTTCAAATTACTATGTTATTAAATTCTTAGAATCTGAAAAAAAATCTTCATATTTTTAAAATTATTAAGTAAATTTATAAATTTGTTAAAATATTTTTATTACAAGTGTATTTTATGAAATCTTACATATAATCAAAAATCTCAAAAAAAGAGATAAAAAAATCTTACAAAACATGATAAATCAGGCAAATTGAAAACACTGACTAAATTAGACAGATAAAAATTCAAACTTTTGACATTTATATCATTATAACATATTTTTATGAACATTAAAACTAATTAAAAAATACATAATACAAAAATAACAACCTAAAGAATCCTAATATTCCTTCTTCTTTGTAAATTTCTTTGAATGATGAAAAAAGACTCCTAATAAAAAATAAGAGTGATATTAAAATCAAAAGCTAAAAAAAATTTTTTTAAAAGTAAATTAATTTTGAACCTAAAAATAATATGCTCTACTCAATTGTTGCCCAGTGCATAAGTAATACACATCTACTATTCTTGTTTAGAAGTGAAAATATTTTTTAGCTCTAAAGTTATTAAGCTTCAATTAAATGATTGTCCAGGTCATATTTTTAAAATCATGAAAACATTTTACCACATAAATCAAGAAAAAAACCAAAATTTATTTCCCTTATATTTGTCTTAATTTAGCTTTAGGCTGATGGCTTTTTTGATTTTTTTGAAACTTTTCTTATCTTTTGTATTGGTAATGACTGAAAAAGATAATTAAAAAATTATATTGCAATAATATATATTTAAATTTGTATTTACTGAAAACTTTTTGGAAATTTAAAAATAATAAAAGTTGAAAAAAATATCTGGAATTTTGGATATAAAATAAGATAATGTCTATATGACTGCTAAATTCAAATATATATAAAAAAAATTATATTCTAAATTAAAATATAAAAAACCTGTATTCTGTTTCTCGACCAACAAACTGAACCATCATTCGAATACTAATTACTGAATAATAAGCAAAACATTAATATATATATATATATATATATATATATATATATATATATATATATATATATATATATATATATATATATATATATATATACATACATACATTTAGAAGTTAAATTATGTGCTGGACATTAGCATTCCCTTGAGCATTCACAAGATCTATGGAATGAAACTAATTATTTCTAACCTTTGTCAGAAAAAAATGAACAGCTGTTTTTGCCTCCCTCTAGTGGGATATATATATACAGCCGATATGGGAGAGGGAAGGGAGAGAGAGCAGTTTTAAAGTCCAGCACCTATATATATAAATATATATATATATATATATATATATATATATATATATATATATATATATATATATATATATATATATATATATATATATATATATATAAAGAAAGAGATAGAGAGAGATAAAACACACACACAAACACTATACTTAATTCATATGTAAGGACACAATTTTCTAATATCATTTTTGCGCTCTTATTATAAAAAATGTGCACTTCAGTTTTTCAGAAAAAGATGAAAAAAACAAAGAATAATGAAAACAAAAATTTTTCCCCAAGCCAAACACTGAGTCGATGTAGCAGCACTCCTTTGCCGCATATATATATATATATTTTTACACCTATATATATATATATATATATATATATAGGTGTAAAAAAAAGTTACAGAGTTCTATTTAACATTTAAATTAGTTTGTATTCGCTATAAACAGAATCTAAAACAGTAAATCTGAAATCCTGAGATCACAATCCAAAAACAAACAAACAATATATATAATATAGACACTTCATGTTATTTATTAAATGTTTTTTTATCTTTGAAATGTTCATCAACATGTTGTGTGAAGTTTTCAAAAGTTTATTCTTTCTAGCAAACATTACAGTTGTCACAAAAAATTTCAAAAATGATGTTTGATTTTTTATTATGTAAAAGTTAACTTGCCATTATCAATCATTTAGCAGACAATTTTTTTTTAACTATCAAAATTGTTCCATATAAATGTTTAAGATTTGATGCACTTGAAAAATCTGCAACTAAAACATTGTTGCAGATTTTTTACAAAACAATGCAACAATGTTTTAGTTGCAGATTAAAAACTAAGTTGGCATTTTTTTGTAAAAACTTTAGATCAGCCTTTTTTCCATATTTTTTAGCGAAGAACTTAAAATTTGTTAAAAAATTTTTTTTTAAGTTGTTAAAGTAATTTTTTAAAGCAGTAAATATTTAGTAAACATCTCTGATTTCACGCTGAAATAGCCTGCTGATGGAGGTTCAGTATATATATTGAATATTTTATAGCCTGCTACTGCAAGGAAATGCCGCTACGTCGACTGAGGGTTTGGCATGGGGAAGCGACTTTTCTTACATTTTTTTCTCAAATGAAAATGATAAATTAGAAAAAACCTCAATAGACTCAAACTTCTATATTCTTAATTACTCGATGCCATGAAGAATAAACTCCAATTTATAAAAAAAAAAGCTAAGGATTTAATTTTCTTACATGATACATGGAAGAAATGTAAAAAAAATTATATATAATTTTATACATATATATATATATATATATATATATATATATATATATATATATATATATATATATATATATATATATATATATATATACATACATATATATATATACATATATATATATATATATATATATATATATATATATATATATATATATATATATATATATATATATATATATATATATATATATATATATATATATATATATATATATATATATATATATATATATATATATATATATATATATATATATAGGGTATGGTAAAATAGCTGTAAAACTCTAATTTCTTTATTAGATCAATATTAAATAGTTTTAACTTTAATTTATTTTTAAAAATAATAAATTTAATAAAATGGTTTAAATTAAATATAAAATTAGAATTTTTAACTATGTTCTTATTAAAATCATACTTTTTGAACCCCCTAACTGTTTTAAAAAAAGTTAAAGTCGTAGCGTGGCAAATTCAAATCATCAGCTTGCTTTTTTTTAATTTTCGCTATTTAAAATGCAAAAGAAAAAAACTTTATAGTTCTATAGATTTCATATTCTATATATAAACATGTTTTATACTCATTTTCCTTGCACGAACTTAACATAAAAAACTTGAAATATAAAACTAAAATAACATCAATCAATCTCAATCATGACACATACACAACAAATTTCTCTCCATTTTTTGATGTTTTTAGAACTTTTAGCTTTTTAAATATCTTTTCGCTTGTTAAAATGTATAATATCGTTACATATGTTTATATATAATCTCTATAAAACTTCACAAGTATTTTGTATTTTAAAACTTAAAAAAATTAAAAAAAAAAAAGTCGCCAGTGGTAGGACTTGAACAATGGCTGTTATGTTCAAAAGCTCTGTGCACTAACCACTCGGCCACCCTGGCACCTATGTAATGTTAAAACATATGTTTAAGTATTACATAGTTTGAAGCTTATGTACGTTAGATATTTGAATACACTTTCGCTCACATTTTTTTATAAAACAAAGTGCTGGGACTCTTTCTTGCCATTACCTCGGTTGCATTGGCTGGCAAAAGTTTAATGTCAAACAAGCACAAATGAGCATTAATACTATTAAGTTCAACAATAATTTATAGTGATTATTGTTATTTAAACAGCCAGTAGTTTCAATAGAGTCAATTATTTAAAAAAAATTTATATTTGAAAAAATGTTTATTAAAGGGATCCCTAAGTGCTCCTAACATATGATCTTATATGAAAGAGCATAAAAAAAAATATGTAAGTTTTTTTTCTTTTTCACTAAATTGTAATAATAAATGCATGCTAACAAAAAGCAATTGCCGAACCCACTGAAAAACAACTTCATTTTAATTTTATTTTTTTACCATTGAAACTTGATTGTTAGTCGTTAAAAATCACATTAGTACGTCACAACAACTTTAGAATATCTACTTCGATTTTCAAGTAAAAAAAAGTTGTGATTAAATAGTTAAGTTTTAATTAAGTTTTTTTAATTAGTTTTGCAAAAACAGTATAATAGAATTCGGTTGAAAGACGTCGTTAAAAAAAAGTTTTAAGTAATAGTTTTAAATAGTTTAAAACTTATAAAAAAGTCTTACAGAGCTTGTATTAAGCGTATCGCGATCGCAATTGCTTTTCACACTTTTGTGATGAATTTTTTCTTAAAAAAATCTTTTTGCGATTTTTTTTTTTTGGTTGTTTAATTACTTTTTTTTAGCAATTTTTAAAAGTAATGTTTTTATCATAAAGAATGTCACACAAAATTTATTATTCTGAATAGATAGATGAATAGATGATTCGCTCTTTTGCGCGGAAATTTTCTTTCAACGTACAACATTTTTGAATTTAAAATAACTTTAAATCTCTGCATGGAAAATTTTTACAAGGTCGTTAAAGCGAAAAGTTGAAAAGTTGGTTTTTATCTTTGTTTATCAAAACTTCATGTTTAAAATAAGGCTTAAAAACGTTAGAGCATAAAAATTACTGACTTTTATTTGCATTTTTATACTGTTTGAAAAAAATAATAATAAAAAAAAATTAATTATTATTATTCATTATAATAATTATTAATTTTTTATTTTTATTTTTTTTCATTTTAATTCACCTCCTCAAGGCCGAGAAGGCCACTACAGACGAGGAGGCTACTTATTTGTGGCTATAACCCTCTCTTAACTCTATAACTGAAACACGAACCTTGACGAACAAGGCCGCTGCGCGGAGAAACGAGTTGAGCGCGGTACTACCAGGGACGTGGTGGGGATCGAACTTGGAACCACTCGTTTATGAATCGAGCCCTCTACCACTACACCACTACACCACTACCGCATAATTAATATATTATTAGTTAATTCTTTTTTATTAGTTTTTTTCTTCAAACAGTATAAAAATGCTAATAAAAACCAGCAATCTTATTACTTTAACGTTTTTAAGCCTTATTTTAAACATATAATCCAATTTATTAAACCAAATTTTTTTGTTTCACTTTTTATTGGAAAACAATTGAAATAGAAAAATTGAATAAAAACATCAACTTAAAAACCATTTAAATGAAAAACTTAATTATATTTAAACTTTTATTAGTCCTTTATTCAAGAAACAATAAATTATAAAAAACGTGGTATCTAATTTTTTATTAAGTTTTTGACGATGTTTTTTGATTTATTGACGATAATTTTTTAATTTATTAATCAAAACAATTTCATTTATTTGCTTCGTTTTACTTTAAACGCATTTTATGTTATGTTCATTTTATGCTTCATTCACATGTTCATTTTATGCTTCGTTTTATTTTAAACGCATTTTATAACTGTATAAAACAGCAACAAAACAGCGTCACGAAACTGTACATTAGCTATTTATATTTTAAAGATAACTTCTTATTTCATTGTTGTTTTATAGCTTTTTACAATACCATTAAATACTCATTAAAAACACGTGTTTTATCGTCAGCTTGATCGTATTAAACAGTTTTCTATGACTAATTAAAGTGGTTTAAATATTGCAGTGACTGATCCAGGAATTTTGCATACCCCTATCCTCCCCCTGGATCAGTCACTGAAATATAGTAATGTTTGCTTTTTACTCTTATTTTTTTACTTTTACTTTTTTAAGTATGCTAAGTAAAAACAATTACTTAATTAATAGTATTAAATACATTACACTGTAACTGCAACTTAAACTTTAAATTATAAATTAAGCTGTAAATTATAACAGTAACATACGCTATTTTAAACTCCGCCAAACAAGAAAATCATAAGATAGCATTTAAATATGAGAGATAGTATGTTAAAAAATAAGGATTACGTGCAAAAGAGACAATTTTATACTAACGCAACCCCCTCCTCCCATTACCGCATATCGGCGCAAGCTATAAGAGAGAGAGAGAGGGGGGGGGGGAGAAGAGCAAAAAAAAAAAAAAATTTTTCGCGATTAGATTTTTTTGCCTTAATTCGAGCCCTGTCTTAGTTTAATTTCTAATAAAATGTCTACTCAACCTTACCAATTTGAACCAAAAAAAATATAGCAAAATTAACATAAATGTTAATTTACCTAAAACATTTTACAATAATTATTTTTTTATCAAGCAAAAATGAGACCGTCACTTTTGAAACCATAAAAATAACCGTCACTTTTGAAACCATAAAAATGACTGAAATAAATTTATTTTTGTACTAAGGAAATATTAAAAAAAAACTTTCATGCGTCTAGATCAATATTCATTTGTTAAAAACTGACTAAAAAGAGCTTAAAATTTGACTTCTATTCGTAGAATTGCCCTTATAACACAAAAATTATTTAAAAAATTTTAATATACAAATATATTTTAACAAAATGCTACAAAACTAATTCTTGTAAGTAATTATGTGTTAGTTGAAAAAAAACGACTTTACTTTTAAATTTAATTACCAACTAATACGTTTGCAATAATGACATTTTGTCTACTTTGTTTAATTTGACGTACAAACGTTAGTTTTTTGAGGCAGTAGAGTCAATAAACTTTGGACAAGATGCATTTTTTTTAATTCAAGAAAAGCGTTTTTTTGAAAGTTAAATTTGTTAGTGTGTGTTCATTATTACGTTTTAGAAAAAATAATATACATTAAAAATTTTTTTTTTATGCTTTTTCATATGAGATCATATATTTATAGCACTTGGGGATCCCTTTAACAACTGTTAGAAGTCATTTGAAAAACATAATTTTACTGTGTATTTTTTCACTTTAAATTAATTGACCAACGATAAATTGATAAAAGCTGCATTTTTTATCATATGGCATAGAAAAGTATGGTGACTTTAAAAACCATTAAAGAAACTTGAATAAAGTAACTTTATTAATAAAAATATGTTTTATTAACAGTGATTGAAAATTGACTCCTTTAACATTTTCCACTATGGAACACGATATATATATATATATATATATATATATATATATATATATATATATATATATATATATATATATATATATATATATATATATATATATATATATATATATATATATATATATATATATATATATATATATATATATATGTCACTGCAAAACAAGACTATCTTTCGACCATTTTTGCTGTTCTGTGAAAAAGGTTTTTAAAGTTTTCATCACTGCAATTGATCTTCTTAATTAAGCCTAATTGATTTTAAAATACTTATTAAATATGTTATTATTTTTTTATAATATAATAAATTAAAAATTTATAAGAAAGTTTATAAGAAGCAACAATGCAAATAGTTTATAAGAAGCAACAATGCAAATGGAATTCTACAAATTAAATTGCCGCTGCAAAACAAGACCATCTTAAGTCCGTTTGGGCTGTTCTAAGAAAAAGATATTTAAAATTTTAAATTTAATAACTGCTTTTGATTTTTAAGATTAAATCTACTTGTTTTAAGTTATGTATTATATGTATTGAGTACTTTAAACTAAAATTTTTTTTTTTTTTGCCAAAAAATGGACTTAAGATAGTTTTGCTTTGCAGTGGCGATATATATACAGGCTTTGTAGGGAAGCGGGAGCGATCGCTCTCATTTACTGACCACGAAATTTATATTTAGTTGCAAAAAACTGGCCAGGTTTTTTAGTCATTTTGAGAACATTTAAGTTTACATACAAAACAAAAAAATTTTGTTTTACGGACATACATGGAAACATAAAAAAGTTAAATATTCTCAAAACATCTTCGTGCGGAAGAATAAAAAGAATATTTGCAAACACAAAAAACCCACCAAATTAACAAATAAACTAATTCTATTGCTCAAAAAATACGCTGACTAAGCGAAATAAAGTTCTAGATTATTCTGTTGAAATGTTTTAGAAATTGTAAATGTAACTTTACATATCTGTTTTTTATCGTAACGTACCTTTTAAAAGTAATTTTTATGACTTAAACAAAGACTTACAAAAGTAATTGCATTTAAAATGAAGTTATGAACATTAAAGTTAATAAAACTAATTATGTAACAAACATATAAGAAGTTTCTGGTTACTAAACACAAACAACGCATACAAAGTAACTCGCGGATGAACAAGCACCGCGCCTGAGGTCACGAAAGAACACAAATATATATAGCAAATTGTTAGATATAAAGAAAAGTATCTAGATATTGGTTTACTAATTCTGTTATTTGCGCTCAAGTAACCATTCTTAAAACTCATTACACTTTTCTCTGCTTTAAATACTAATTAAAATTAAAAAACCCACTCACTAAACATCATCAGCGATATTGTGAAGCAGTTTCGCTTACTCGCCATTAAGTATTTTTAGCCTTTTTAGTTGATTTCTATCTAGTTAATTTAATTTATATAGTAACTCAATGATTTAATTATTTCATTTGTTTATCTTACTAAGAAGAATTGCTTCAAATATGTTGAACTTTTTAAACTACGCGAAAAATAAAATAGGTATTAAAAAAATTAACTTTTTTATTTATAAAATAATTTAGCTTAAGTAAAACTAAAACTTGCAAACTTTGTTGAACAAAGAACATTTGTTTCCTTTTTAAACATTCATAAGATGTTTAAAAAGATCTTATGAATGTTTAAAAAGGAAACAAATGTATGATAAAAGATATTTTATTTTCCTAATTTTTTTTCTTTTTTTTTGTAATTGTCTCTCATTGTTCCAATTAATCTTATGCACATTTTTTTTTTGCATTTTGAAATGTTCTTAAAACTACTAAAAAATCTGGCCAGCTTTTTGCAACTAAATATTATTTCCGTGGTCAGCAATCGAGAGCGATCGCTCCCGCTTCCTGACAAAGACTGTATATATGGATATATATATATATATATATATATATATATATATATATATATATATATATATTTATATATATATATATATATATATATATATATATATATATATATATATATATATATATATATATATATATATATATATATATATATATATATATATATATATATATATATATATATATATATATATATATATAGTTTAAGTTACAGTCACCTGTCTCTGTTATAGGCTAATTAAGGTGATCATTAAATATTAATTACCCACAATCCCAACATAATATGAGTTGTAATAAAAATACCAAAACTAAATATGTAAAAATATATTATCTCACATTTATTTAAAAATTACAACATAATCAATACTATTTCTCATATTATTTTATGCTTGATACATATTTATATCATGCTTGATATAAATTGTGGAAAAAACACCAAACTTTTTATTATGTTATAATATAAATGTATCAACTTACATTGAAGCGGATAACTAACGAATAGACCTGCTGATTTTGCAACAGCCTCATTCCCCACCTAAAAATCATTTATTACAAATTTAATAAAAATGTCAAATATAGTGGATTTCTACAAATACTAATAATGCATATATATGAACATTAATTATACTTCTATTAATTTATTAATAATTTATACTTTTAAAAATATCAATTTATATTATAAGAATATTTATTTATACGTTAAAAATCATTTTACAAATAAACACTTAAAAATTTATTTATATATTTTTTATAATAAAATAAATCAAACATTTTAGGGAAGCAGTTATAAATTGAAAAAAAAAAAAATTCATCAATTGCATTTAAATGTAAAAGAATGTCTATAAAATTGATGTTTAAAAAAAATATATAAATGTTTAGTAAATAACACTTAAAAAAAGTTTCATATCAAAATAGACTTTATAAGTTTAGCGTTAAACACCTCATATTTTCTAATGCAATTCAACATAATTTATATACAATCATATTCTCTTGATATTTACAACTATGACTTTAAATTATATACAACTATTTACAATTGACGCAAATTGATCGTTAACAATCATAAAATATATTTACACTTTACACTTCCTCTTAGTCACAATGAACATCTCATCTCAATAACTAAATCATTCAGGGGCCCTCCTTTCTCCTGTGCTTCTACGTAACACTGACGTCTTGCTTGTTTTTTCTGTTGCACAACGTATAATTCATCTTCTAAATCCTCACTTAAATCATTATCACCTCTTCCTTGTCCAAGATCTTCATTCGAACTGTTGTCAACTCTTACTTGTCTTTGGTCTCGTACATGTCGACATATTTTGTTCTATCGTTTGCTCCGAGATTATCCCTGTAATTACTCCAATCTTATATTGAGAAACACATCGGCTATTCGGGGGTTTAACCCATACTTAATCGCCAAGTTTGAATTTATTGATTATCTTCTTACGAGAATCATGTACATTCTTGTTGTTATCAATTCCGCTTACTCTAATTTTGTATTGATATAACTTATTTACAGGTGCAGTAGAAGACTTACAACTATCTTTTGGACTAACGTTATACCAATAAACTGCCTCCAGTATGCTGCATGGAACTCTCTTCGACGTTCATTTGACAGTTAGGTGACATCGTTCTGCAATTCCATTCCCAAAAGGTACATAAGCGCACCTAAATCGAAGTTTAACGTTTATTCACAAACTGAGAAAACAATGTGCTTCGAAATGCAGTGTCATTGTTCGTCAGTATTTCATCCAGACCTCCTCGTTCGAGAAATATTGCGTTTAATTCTTGAATAACACATACACTGGTTTGATCTTTAAGATATCGCCATATTGCATACCGTGTAGGTCCACAGCCGATTAAAGTAAGATAATGCTGCCCCTCATAATGAGTTATGTCCATGCCAAGTCGTTGCCACGTTATCTTCATTTCTATTTCCCCTTTCAGCCATTTCATTGGACTTGGATCGATTGATTGACAGGTTATGCATTTCTCAATTGTTTTACGTCTTCGTTGCTCACTGACGGGTCAATTTTACAAGCGAAATACAATGTTTTCTTCACGCAATAATGTCCTGTAGATCCTGCTCGATGTTTTTGGGAGATAGCAAAGTACTACTAATGCAACTTGCTGCCATTTCATAGGTTTTTTTTTGGGAGATAGCGAAGTACTACTAATGCCACTTTGATGGCTTTGGGAGATGGAAAACTACTAATGCCACAAATGGCTTTGGGAGATAGTGAAGTACTACTAATGCCACTTGCTGCCATTTCATCCTGTAGAACCTGCTCGATGTCTTTGGGAGATAGCGAAGTACTACTAATGCCACTTGCTGCCATTTCATAGGGTTTATCAACCAATTTTAATCAACTATTGGGCACTCTAGTAAAGGCATCGGCCAAGTTAAACTCCAAAGCGACAAGTTTAATATCTACTTTGAGTTGGTATTCTTCCACTATATTTGCAATGTTATGTTAAGTCTTCTTCTTATCAGCATTTCGTTTGAAGCTTTTGTTCTCAATCTAGATTTTACTGTGAGTGCATTGGTAACCCAATAATACCGCTTTCTATTCGGTGCAGATGTGTAGAATTTTGTTATAGTGCTATTGAACTAGCATCTACCCAAATTGTTGCCTCGTTACTGTAAACACTCCAAATTCTTTTAGCAAGATCGTCATTTCGTGTTCTTTGTATCATATCATTCAGCATTTTCTCCAGATAATTGCATTTTATTTTTTCACCCCACGTTTTTGTCAAGGTGTTTGTTGTCCTTTTAACATATGATGAGGCTTCACGCAACCAACCACAAACTGGAAGATTTTCCGTCATTTTTCTACACAAGGAAAAGATGTTACGTCTTGTTAGTGATTTCGGAATTTCACTAAAATCATTATCTCTTCTCCAACACAATTTTTTATTTTCCATTCCGACTTGTAAACCAAGAACTCTTGCTCAATCAGATACACGGACCAACGGCTTGCAATGAAGCCCATAGGTTTCCAAATGATCAAGTACGTTACAAACAGGTATTATGTCTTCATTCACAAAAATACCATCTATGTATGATGACGTTCCTTTCCAGATTGTTTCGTCTTGCGATAGCAATTTGTCCAACAGCACTTTCATTATGACTGACGCAACGTTTAGTCCGAATCCCAAACGTGTTAAACAAAATTTTTTTCCACGGAACACAACAGTTTGGTAAGCACAAAGTTTCTCATCTATTTTTAGTTGCATGTAAGCTAAAGATATATCAATTATTGAAACATTTTCTCCAAACCATCTTCAGTCTGGAAGTTTGTCAGCACACGCATCTGTGCTTGCAGCGAATGCTTCAATAAACATGTTCAGATCCCTGAACCAATACTGGTTGTACTTTTCCTTTATTTCGCTGCATGACTGCCATGAGAGGAACCAAACCTTTTATTGGACCGTGTTTCTTCAAATCGTACTTTTGCAGCCATTTTTTCTCTATCCATCCTTCAATTTCTTTTTCGTAATCGTGTTTTATGTCAACAGGAATAGTGTATTCAGCAGTCTTGTTCACTAAAGTTTCAGGTTGAGAATTATTATTTCATTTCCACAAAATTATTCATTCTCGATTTTCTTTTTCAGAAGAAGCTGTGAAATCTCAAGCTGTTATATTCAAATTACTGACATCTTTTGGCATATCACTTCTTAGTCCAAGTAAACATGATTTGTTTCTTCCCATAAAACAAACATCACGAGTTGCAGATATTGATACTCCACCAAAAGCAACTGTTCCATCCATACCCGTCAAAAAACAATAACCAAGTGGTTTGAAGTCAACTACAAGTGCTTCCACAAAAACTTCGTTCCCATTTGCTGTGACGATTCGAGTTCGGCTAACGCCTTCGCACTGTTGTTGTTGTCCATTTACAGTTACCATGCTAACTACTTTCTTCGTAATTTTTGGCACACATTTTTTATAAATGATACAGCAGGTACATCCAGAGTCAATCAATACATCACAAAGAATGCCGTTAATGTCCAAGCGTATAGTAGGTAGTGCCATTATTGATTGTTTGGGGAGAGAGCTGGCGCAAACATCTTCTCCCTCGGCACGTTTTTTGGATACATTCTTGATGTGTCCTTTCTCTTGACACGAGTAACACAAAACATCGCTTGTCTCCCCTCTCTGACCCAACTTGCTTCGATTGCTATGTCTTCGTAGACGACAATCTCTTGTAAAATGATTCAGGAGTTTACATTCATAACAAACTGGTTGTGTTTGATCTTCAAGCAATCTTAACTCAGCACGTCTTTTTGTTGCAGCAGCAGCAAAATTTTCATTCATTCCATCGTTCCGTTCTTTAATCATGAGTGCTCTTGCTTGCGCAAGTATTTGTATAGTAGTAAGATCATCCATATGAGAACTTGATCTCAGCATCTGTCAAACTTCCTCAGGAAGCCCAGAAACGAAGGCACATGCAATAGCTCTGTCTGGTAGCCCACCAATCAGAGTAGATAATCTCCGCAGTTCCGCCAAATAAACATCACCTGCCTCTCCATGCTTTAATTTTCTTGTAACGAATTGTTCGTAAGCTGTAAATGCATTAACGGCAAAAGCTTTTAGGAACGCCTCTTTTATACAGTCAAAATCTTCTTTATCACTTTCTGCTAACTGTTGATATACTGCAAATGTACCATTTGTGAGACGGAGGGGAACAACGCTCGCCAGATCGGTTACACCAATTAGTTTGCATACTAGTTCCACTTTTTCCAGCTATTCTGCAACTGATTGTTGATCATTTCCACTAAACTCCGGGATTAACTTTAAATCAATTTTAGTCAACATTTTTGCCAAAATAGCTTGTAGTTTCACATCAAAATCGACTTTATAAGTTTAGTGTTAAACGCCTCATATTTTCTAATACAATTCAACATAATTTATATACAATCATATTCTCTTGGTATTTACAACTATGACTTTATACTATATACAACTATTTACAATTGACGCAAATCGATCGTTAACAATCATAAAATATAATTACACTTTACAATACTTATAACATTTGATTACACTATCTGCAAACTAATTTTTTGTTTTCACAAATAGAATTACACAATACCCTATTAAGGTGTTTCACGAAAAAAAATTTGTATATGTATTTATACATTCTGCTCTTTTTAATTATTACAATACAGACATTGATCCAGATTCATACAGACATCAATCCAGATTCTAATTTTCAGACTCATAAAAGAATCTAAGAATCTAAAAAATCTATTTAATACAGGAAAAAGTAATCCTACTTCCTATATGTCCATTAAAACAACATTTAGTTAACTATTTTCAATATTTTGACTTGACATAAAACATTATCTCAAATTAGAATAGAAGATCAAATACTAATTAGCAATAAAGTAAAACAAAGTCTTTTAGTTTCCAGTTAGAAAATCATAATGAATTTAAAAAAGTTACCAGTCAGAGAATCATGATGAACTCAAAATAAGTTTCCAGTCAGAGTCATGATGAATTCAAAATAAAAGAGTCTATTGTAATAATAATTGTGTTAAATAAAAAAAAAGAATTTCAAGAACTTCAAAGTTAAAGAAAAAAAGTTCAATAAGATAAAGCGTAATATAGGCAATGAAATAGAAGATATAATAAAACTGGCATGTCAATCTTTATGATTTTACACTTGATTCATTATTGAAAAAATTTTCAGATCGTGTTGTAGAAAACTTTTTTTTGAATTAAATATGAATTTTATTAATAACTTTTTTCATAAATTGTTAAATTTTAAGCAACAAATTTTTTTTTTTTTTTTTAGAAAAAATGGGGGTTCAACTCACTGAAGTGAAATTCACTTTCAGTGAACTTAGAAAATATCGTTGTGTAACATTTGACGGCCAAAAATCTTTCATAAAATAACTACTATGTACTATTTCAGGAAAAAAATTTCTATTATGAGTTAAAAATAGAAACAGTGAACTAAATTGAATTTGATTCAATTAGTTGAACATAATATGCTAATTGATAACTCAGTAAATGGGACTAATAATATTATTTAGACATGGTGTTTAAACTGACCAATGAAAACTGACCAATAAAAACAGACCAATGAATCTCTATAAATTCTTGTATAAATTTTTAAGAGATTATTATCAAATCAATTCTAAAATATAACATGCTTTAAAAAAACTTGCAAAGAAAAGCCATAAACTAAAGTACAAGATGCACTTGCAGTGGCCTAAGTATAAGTGGTGAATTTTTGCTTACGGAAGTTGTTTAATCATTCAAAGTACCAGTAGCAACTGTTTACAGATGTGTCCTCAACATATTTGAAACAATTGGCAGTGGTTCAAATATGAGATTGCCACAACAACTTAAATCGTCTCTGGCAAATAAGCTCATCAAATTAGTCTATAAATAGAATTTGACACAAATATATCTGATCTCCAATAGTACACCAGAAAAAGATAAACACACGCTTCATCAACTTATGAAGTCATAAGCCAAGCATCATAGCCCATGGAAAAATTTCATTGTTTTTAGAGTAGATTCTTGTAAGCCAGAAATAGTAGCTAAGTATATAAGTAGAAATTATAAAAGTATATAAGTAGAAATCAATGTATTTTAATACATTGCAAATTTAATTAAGCAGCTATAAACAAAAACAATTCATGTTATTTGTGAAATTTTGATAAAAACTACTCTGGTATTCAGTTTGTAGATTGCAGACATAACACTGAACAACCGCTGAAATTAGCAAAAATGAAAAAATTAAATTTACAGTTAAAAATTGCACCAATGCTGCTAACAATCGTCTCACTTCATGCATTATTTTTGAATAAAGAAAAAGTATGTAAAAATGTTGATGCTTAAATGATCCAGACAATGCCATATATGTAATATCTCTATCTGGATAAATGGAAGATAAACAACTCATGCAGTGACTCACTGGCTCAGATGTTTCTGTCATGAAAAAAATTCCAGTTGATTTGTTTAATCTCTAATTTAATTATTTAATTAAATAAACTTAATAGTTATCAAGTTATAGATACTCATATATTAGTCAAAGATGGATATTTGACACATGCTTCTAATTGGGTCTCACTAAACTGCATTAAAAATAGGCAAGCAAATTATCACTGTATTTTGAAATACTAATTTATTTTCTCTCAATATAAAATTGATCAAGTTAAAAATCCTTAATACATTTAAGATACCATAATAGCAATCTGAGTTTTCATCTTTTAACTACACCAGAATTAATCAGTTAATCAGAATCTACACCAGTACCACTACCAGCAGCAATAATGACATTGTCTTAGCCACTGTCTTCTAAATTTACTCCTACAACATCTAGTATCAGCATAGATCATAGAGCATAACCTTTAAAGTCAACATTGCTCCAATCTTCAATATTGTAGTAACTCCAGCTAGATTTAAAAAGAAGTTAAAAAACAATTGCAATTTCTTTGCAAAAAAATGTTTTTAAATCCAACATGCGAAAAGCAAAAATAAAAATAAAAAATGGAAACAAACCAAGATTTAAAAGGAGATCTTAATAAACTTAAAGAGATTGAAGGATACTAAAGCAGTATGCAACAAAATATTTAAAAAGAAAATATCATAAACTATTTTACTAAAAAGAATTACATTAAAAATTAAAATAAAACAATTCAATTTGCAAAAAGAAAAATGCACATAAAATCTATTTAATTTCATAAATTTTTAAACAGAATATTTATTACAAAAAAATTAAAAGTTCAAATAAAAATACATTTTTTTAGAATAAAACTATTGTGTATTTAAATAAGTATTTTTAGACAATATTTACACTTGTTAAGAAAAGTATAAAGGAAAAAATAAAAGAAAGAACCTACCTCCTTTAAAAATGTTTGTAAGGACTTCTAAAATGAAATGTTTTCAAATTAAAATTAATCAGTGAATTTAAAAATCAAATAAAAAATACCAGAGCATTTGAAAAACAATTCTTATGTAAAAACTGTAAATAATAAAAATTATTAGGTATAGTAAATAAAAATAAAAAAATTTTAATCAATTGTTTTATAATAAAATTAAGAAAAAAACCTAAAAAATGTTGAAATCAAATTTAGTAAACAATCATATAAAATATGTTTAAATTCTTAACATGTCTCTTGTATTATGGTGTTCAACTTGTTTCTCCATGCAGTGAACTTGTTCATCACAACTCATGGTTCATATATAAAGTTGAGGGTTGAAAAAATAGTAAAAAATAGACATGAGCTTTCATGACTAAATTAGTTTCCTTGGTCTTGGAGAGGTAAATTTAGTAAAAAGAATAATACTAATAAGAAAAACAAAACAATAAATAATTTTTATAAAAATTGATATCAAAAAGTTTTAATATAGTAGGCAAAATAGATTTGAAACATCACAGTATCTAAAGGACTAGACAAAACTTTTTTATTATCTGAAGACATTAAAATTGACATTGACCATGACACAAACCTAAAACCTAAAGAATCATTGTATAATAGGAGAACACAAGAACCAATTAAAAACTATTTTATAAAAAACCAATAAATTGAACAATAACTAATTACTAGGTTACCTTTAAATCTATTATTAATTTTTTAACATATTAAAGTTTTACATTGGAAATTTTATTTCTAAAAGTGAGTTGCTTTTACATAACTAAAAACATTGCTTTATATCTTCATACATATATTTGATCTTAAATATGATAACCTCTGGTTACAAAACTTGTCCTTGTCTTATATCTTCATACATTTATTTAATCTTAAATATGATAACCTGGTTATAAAACTTTGGCACAGAATATATATAAGGAGTAATAGTACAAAGAAATATTTAATAAACAAAAAACGGTTACTAAAGAAAAATATACATTTTTTAATTTTGAGACTAACGCTTTCTTACCATTAAAAATGTACTGCATCAACTTTTATGGATTAACAACATTTAATAGCTAATAGAAATCTCCACTAGGCCGTAATTCTGGGACAAAATCTGAATTATCAACTTTGGCAATATATTAGATATAATATCATTCAAGTAATTGGTTGTTAAACTGACTTTGAACTGTTAAACAACCAGTTTGTTAAACAAACTGGTTGTTCATTGAAGCTCTAGACTGGTTGTTCATTGAAGCTCCAGACTGGTTGTTCAAAAGACTTTTCAGACTATATATATTCATACTAGCTGTAATTATTGGTTTTCTGCTTGATCTAGGCTTGAAGACATTGATTGATTGTTTTTACACTTTGCCATATGTTTGATGGTTGATTAGAGGCAACAAAATACTCTACAATGTTCTTAGTTTTAGCGTTAGGATTCAAGTTGCAATTGCTGTTCACTTATTTAATTAAAGTAGTCAACTTCATTTTGTAATAAATTTTTTTATCAATTAATTTAGATAAATAAAACTTTTATTAAAAAAAAAAAATAATGAAAAAATAAACAAAACCACAAAGAAAATGAGGATAGATAATTAGAAATTCAAGATTTAAATGCTCAAGATTATGCCAAATTTTTGTCGTCAGAGTTAAACAACTCACTAAGACAGTAAGATATTTTACTTCTTGTGTACTTTACTGTGCTTTAATTTAATATTGCTTTAATTTAATATTTAATTTTTTTTTTTTTTTATTTGCATTCACTCCCAACAAGGCTGCAAGCAACCACAATTAAGTTGGGAGTTACTAGGAAAAAAAAGAACAGAGTTATAGAGCAAGGAAACGGTTGACAGAAGACTTGAAAAGTTGAAGGTTGTATGAGTCAGAAAAACATGAAGATGGGAGAGAGTTCCAAAGGATTGAAGTGCGGGGAAAAAAACTAGATGAATAAAAGTTTTTAGAGCATGCAGGGACAGATACAGTAAACGAATGAGACTTAGCTGAATGACGAGTAAAACAAGAATGAATTTTAGTTGATGGAACTAGATGATAACTCCTTTGAGCAGTGACCACGATAGTATTTGTAGAAAAGAGAAAGAGATGCAACTTTACGATGATGGGAAAGAGGCTCAAGCTTAGCAGATAGTCCAGGTCCAACAACATTTACAATGCGTTTTTGGACCTTGTCAAGAAGAGAAAGTGAATCGTTAGAAGAACCAGCCCAAATATGACAACAATATTCCATACAGGGACAAATAAGAGATTTGTAGAGGCAGAGAATGGAATCAGAAGTAAGGAAATGGCGAGCATGATAAAGAAAAGCAACCTTAGCAGAAGCTAATTTAGCAATCGATTGTATATATGGTTTCCATGAAAGGTCAGTAGTAAGCAATAATCTAAGACGTAAAGAGGAGGACTCAGTAAGAGGATTGCCATTCATTAATATAGGAATGTTGACCATATTAGGGTAGTTGTTTGCAGTAAACAACTGGGTTTTGTTAGAGTTGAAATTCACAAGCCACTGTGAACCCCAATCTATTACTAAAGTGACATCGGATTCAAGATCAGCTGCTTGTTCTAGGCGATCGAAAAGAGAAGACTTTTTGTCAAGACAGGAGTATAAAGTTGAGTCATCAGCAAAAAGAGCTACTTTAGATGAAAGGTTGTCAGGAAGATCGTTTATGTAGATAAGAAACAAAACAGGGCCTAGGATGGAACCTTGGGGAACCCCAGAAGTTACTGGAGATAAAGAAAAGTGTTGGCCTTCAAGAATGACTTTAACAAACCGGTTAGAAAGAAATGATTTGATAATCTCAAAAACTTACCCAGAAACTTCATACGAAGCAAGCTTATGGAGAAAACCAGCATGCCAAACTTTGTCGAAAGCTTTAGATATGTCGAGAGCAATAGCACTAGCCTAACCGCCTCCATCTAATGCACCATAAAATCTTTCAGTTACAGCAGTTAGCAAGTCGGCCGTAGAGCAAGAGGATCAAAAACCGTATTGATTGTCTGACAGTAGTTTATTTGACTCAAAATGAGATGTGAGGAATTTGTTGATCAATATATATATATATAGTTCGAGGAATTTGTTGATCAATATATATATATATATATATATATATATACTCGCAAGGGAGTGCTGCTACACCAGTCGATGTAGCAGCACTCCCTTGCGAGTCAGGCTATTTGTCAGTCAATGTAGCAGCTCTCCGTTGCCAGTCAGTCTATAAGATAGTCGATGTAGCAACACTCCCTTGTAGCAGCAGGCTATAAAATAGTCGATGTAGCAACACTTACGCATGTTTTAAAAATGTTTTTTAACAAAACAAAAACAAAAACACCACTAATTAAAAAAAAATTTCTAGTCATTATTATTGCGGTTTTTTTAAAAAACAATAAAATTTAATGTACTTTCACATTGATTTAATTGCTTTGACATTTTGACGACAATAAAATGCAGCTAAAGAAAGGTAAAAAAATTGTAGTCTAAAGAGACATTTTTGACCATAAAAATCTCTTTCGACTACACTATAAGGATATATATATATATATATATACATATATATATATATATATATATATATATATATATATATATATATATATATATATATATATATATATAAATACAGTCTGCGCCAAACAAATAGTACACACTATAAATCTAATATATTTTATTCATTTTATACTGTTTAAACATTAATATATCTAAAAATAATCATATTCAGAGAAGTAATAAAAAACATTTTTGGCGTCAAATATTTTACCACGTCAAAATATGGGAGATAATATGATATTTTCTGGTGACAAACAGATAGCACACATCAGTCATTTAGCATTTGACTGCAGATGAATTGCTAACGCTAAGTAATTGACGAATTTACTAACATAGACTAAATGGTCATCATATGTGAACTAATCATGTGTTACAGAGGCCTCCTATGGGACGTGGAACTAAGTTAAATGCTGAAGAAGTCTCTATGATTAAGGCATTCAAGGCTGCCAATGTATCAATGTCTGAGATATTGAAACATAAAGTGAAGTTGGAAGGTGATAGAGAAGATTTCTGATACATATTTGAAGACAAAATCCAAACAAAATGCTTCGAAATTAACCAAGTGTGACAAGCGTAACATACTACAAGTGGCTTCAAACACCAGCTGTAGTACCCGATTGATAAACGCCCAGCTGGATATTGATTTGTTATTACGTATGATACATAGAACATTACATCAAGCCAAAACATCTGAGATATTAGTAGCATATGTCAATACCGGCGATGCAGAAATATATTATGGAGAAACATATGGCGCATGCAAACAAACATTTATCTTATCCACCTGATTGGGGCTCAATTAATTGGTCTTATAAGAAGAAATTTAATTTTGATAGTCCAGATGGGTATAAATATTATTGACATGACTTTTGAAAAGAGCCCTATACTTTCTTGTCCAGACATAATGGTGGTGGTGGCGTCATGATTTGGGGTGCAATTTTCAAGGCTGGATCATCTGAATTGAAGTTCTTTGAAGGGAAAAAAACAGTTAAAGACTTATAACACTCTCTGATTACTTAATGCTATATGGGCATGCGTTATCTTGCATAAACACAAAACATACATTTGTCTTTTTGCAAGATAACACGTCGATACATATAGCAAAGACTGTGATGGAGTTTGTAACATATGACATCCAGTTGTTTGATCATCCAGCGCTGTCATTCGACTTGAATCCAATTGAAAACATTTGGGGTTACTTGTCTTGTCACGTGTATGAAAATGGAAAACAATACAGTAACCTCACAGAACTAAAAATGGACATCTAGATGGAATGGAACAAAACCCTCCAATCTTTAGGGGGTTTTGTTCCATTCTTTTAACACTTATTTCCTCCATGCCTAAGCGTTGCATTCAGGTTATTATGAAAAAAGATAAGAAGATTGACTATTAGGTTTCTACGTCTTTGTAATCTCTAAAACCTGCTGAAATGATGTGTGTGCTATTGGTTTGGCACATAATGTATTTTTAATTTTATTCTTTTTTTGTTTTTTACATGTTTTAAACAAAAACAATATATATATATATATATATATATATATATATATATATATATATATATATATATATATATATATATATATATATATATATATATATATATATCATAGATCCTAAATTAAAATAACATTAGACAATTTTTACCATAATAATGGGTTAGTAATTTTGTAAGAATGTACCAATGACAGCGTTCAGTATTTTTTGTTTATGAAGCTAAATTCAGACCACAAGTAACAATTTATTCTATAGAAATAAGCGTAAACTTATAAGTAATGGCACGCAAAACTTGTTTTTAAACATGGTCACTTTTATAGAAGGATTAAAATAAATGATACAGATTTAAAGCAAACTTCTCAAAAACTGTGGTCCTCAGTAAAATATTTGTGGTAAAAAGCTAATCTAACTATATCCAATATTCCTAATAAAAGAGGAAAAAAAAGAACCATTAATGAATGAGAAAGAAACCATATAATCTGGCATTAGGCTTATCTATGGTGCAATTTTAATATGTCATAGGGTAAACCAAACCAAACCTAAACCAAAGTTACCCAACAAATTGTTTTATTTTGATAGGAATAGTAAAAAAGCAGTTTGGGAAACCAATTTTTTTAAATTCACAATTACCTGACATTAAATATAAAAATGAAAGAAAATCAGTTACATTTACATGCAAATTACATTTTGCTATGACAATTTGACCGCGACTATTTCAAAAAACATTTTGAAAACGTGCTAACTAAAAAATATTCTGAAAAAGTGAAATTAATTTAATCAAAACTCCTTAACAAATGTTTTTACATTAGCGAAACACTTTTAAATAAAGTAACAATATACTGAAAATGTTTTTTTTTTAAAATATAATTGACAGTTGTATATATTTTTTAAATTCATGATATATAAATTGTTCAAGTGAGCATTTCTATAATAAACCTTATTAAAAAATAAAAAATTGTTTTGTTTTAATAAAAGATGACATTCTACGACAACGAAAGTCTCTTTAATGAATTTTAATATAAGAATAATTAAAGTTAATACATTTGAAAAGATAAAATTTTGTTAAAAAAATTTTATATCACTAATCAGAGCATGAAATGAATAAAAAATAGTATTTTAAAAAGACGTTTCTTTTTAAATTGAAACTTTTTTCAGAAAATTGTTTATACAATTTAATATTCTAAATACAATTTAATATTCTTAATACTTTTCAATAATTTAAATAAAATTTGCTCATTCATTAAAAAATAATTAGAAGTAATTTGTAAAAGCGTTTTGCATAACTATAATAAAAGGTTTCAAAAGATAAGTTTTAAAGTAATTTATTTTTAACACAATTAAAAATCTAACAAAAAGTAATTTTCGGTACGAGTTCGAGTTTTTTGAGTTGTATCTTAGTGTTCATATATTTTCTTTTTCATAAGGAATTGGAATCTTTTTTTCTTTAATTTTGTTTTATAAATTTTTTTTCAAGCTTAAATTTAGCTTAGCATTTTTTTTCTCAGAGCATTCCTGAAATGTTTAATATATACACACACATGATGAAGAAAATGGTTTAAAATTTATAAATTCTTTCATTAAAACAAGGGTTGAATTAGGCGATCGCGATTTATGATATCTGTAAAAATATCTGGTCATCGAAATTTTAGTTTATGCAAAATCGTATACTCTTAGAAAAACATCTAGAAAAATAGAGTGGATATTCAAATAATAATTAAAACTTTAGGAACATAAACTAATACGTACTTGAATAAAAACTTAAAATATAAAATGACAAACTTTTTATAATTTTTATCGTTTCCAAAAATGTTACTAATAATTTGCAAAAACATTTTTTTTACATATTATTAGTAACAACAGTTTTTAAAATCAACCAATTAAAAAATTTTATTGGTTAATTTTAAAATAAACTTTTTTACGCATAATTAGTAACTTTTTAAAAATGCTAAACGATTCTTATAAAGCTTCAGTTCCTGAAGTTTTTAATATTATTTGACTATCCCCTTTATTTTTCAAAATGCTTTTCTATTTTAACTGAAATTTGGGATTACTTATATTGTTTGAACAAAGAACGTATTATAAAAATTATAAGTGTGTTATAAAAATAAAAAACATTATTATATTGTTATTACATTTATAATGCAGTTAGTGACTAAAGTTTTATCACTTTTCTAGTCCTAAGTTTTGTTTTGATTTCGTTTTTATAACTTATTTGCTAACAAATTCAAGTTAATTTGCTCCATGAAAACAACGTACACGGTTTTGCATAAATTAAATTTTGAAGACCAGATATTTATCACAACCGCGATATGCGCGATTGCTGAGTTCAACCCATGTAAAAACATTGTGAAAAAATTTATATCAAATAATAAGTAATTGATATTTATTTAAAAATATTATTTTTTTATTAATTTATTGTAAATACAAGATGCCAGATTTTCTAGTAATCAAATAAATTTTCATTCTTTTACAATTTTTGAAAACAACATTGATCTATAAAAGTCTATAAGATTTAATGAAAAATCTTTACAAATTATGTAAACTCAATATTCTTAATTTTGCTAATAAAGAGTTTCCTTGATTTTTGTTGTTGTTGTTGTTTAAATGGACAAGGTTGAATAGACATTTTATTATAAATTAAACTAAGATTTTTCTACAAGCTCCAACTGTAAACTCTTTAAACACAATCAAAATAAAAAAATATTTTCCATTAAACATATTTAAATATTTTTAGATTTATTGCATATTTACTTCACTCATACAAATTTAAATACCTTACCTTACTTCATATATTTTATAATCTTAACAAAATTAATCTTAATACCTCACTGACTTTACTTTTATCTTTTTCTTGTTCAGTAAGTGTCTAAAAAAATCTTAAAAGCTAATATAAAAAAATAAGTGTAAAAAAATGTAAAAGTTATCATTTTGAATAAAAAATTACACTTACATTACTAATGGAATTTCTAACGGATGAATTTACTATGTTATGAGCAATTCTAGATAAACAAATATTTATATTAAATTATGAGTTTGTATACTAATACTTTTAATAAAATATTGTTATATAATTTCATTCATAAAATCATTAATGCTATGAACTTTATTTTATCATGATGAGATCATATTTTTAGATTTTAAAGACTCGTATAATTTTAATATTTCAACTTAAAACCGCAAAAACAAAAAATCATTTAAAGATATAACTTCACATCGCCTCTAAAGATTTAACAGGTAACTTGAGATTTCTCTTTAAAAATTTTTAAAATAAAATTTAAATTTGAGCAAAAAACAGATGATATAATATTTTATTACTTATTAAAATATTTAACTACTAAAACAAACACTTATTAAAGTATCTTTTACTGTTAAGTGTTTAACAATTTGCATTGCAAATTATTAAAACTACTTTATTAAAACAATGCAAATTATTAAAAACACTTTATATTATATTATTTGCAGAACACAATGTGAGGAAAAAATTAATTAGTTTAGATACAAAAACCTTTATTCCTATTGTCCATTATTTAAATAAAATGTTTTTAAACATTGATAATGCCAGTTAATAACTTAACATCTACCATCATCAATAGTCGTCTCTTCTAAAAATTTTTAATTTTATTATTGCTTTTTAGTAATTAACAACTTTTCAACAATTTTAAAATGCTGTTAAAAAACTTGAACGATTTTATGAAATTTTAGTAAATTTTCCAAATAACATCCTGATTCTTTATCAAAACTTGTTTTTTAAATCTCTAATTCCTTTTTCAACCGGTCAACCATGACTAGCAAGAATTCATTTTGGGAGATCAAAACAGCAATTTTAGTCATTTCCAGTTGTCCCTAACCGTTGACCAGCCATTATTTTTCATGCAGTATATATATACATATATAAATACAAATATATATATATATATATATATATATATATATATATATATATATATATATATATATATATATATATATATATACACACACACACGCATATATCTAATTGTTTAGTTTTTCAATAATTGCTGCTGATTTTGCTGCTACATTAAAATTTCTTTCTGCAACATTTCCATTAATGCAGAATAAAGGCTTTGTTGTTGGGCCATTATTAAAGAGTGATTTATCATTAATTCACTTAGAAAATGACAGACACTGATTTTCCATTCTTCTTTTTTTATTTCTGCATTGGTTTTGATTGTTGCATAAAGAATTACATTGTATCTGTACCTCTTCCTCATACTTTTTTGACTTAAATTATCATAATTAATGAGACTTTGTTTCCGTAAAAGTTTCCAAACAATAAAGCCTATTTTTCTCAGCTTGAACTTCATCAATGGTGATCTTTAAAGTTTCATCATTTTCTAAAACATTCACTTTATCAATAATTTCTTGAACACAAACTTCAGTACCGATTAGATCAAATGGTTTTTTACTTAACATTTCATCAATTGATATTTTTTGTTAAAAAATTGAACCAAACAGCATGTTGATTTACTCTGAATTAAGGATATTTTATTGAACTTTAATATCTGAAATTTGAGTCCAGACATTACATTTCTTCGGAGAACCCCATTTTTATGGTTAAACAACCAATATTTCAATAAATAATAATTTAGCACCACACAAATGACACTCCACAAAATGTCTCTCCACACAAATGGCACTCTACAAAATGAAAAAAATAATAACATAAAAACGTTAAATAAAAAAATCAATCTTAATATTAATTAAAGATCTTATTTAAAGCAGTCTTTTAGAACAACTATAAATTCTCAGTTCATCAGGAAGATAAACCTACTGATTAACCTACTGATGGTGAACAATTTGTATAAGATAAAATTAGATAAGCATTTTTACTTATTTATTAAATTATTTTATTTATTAAATTTTACTAAATTACTATTGCTCTATTTTTTAAGAACATTAAGCACTCTATTTGTAGAATACACTAACATAATTTACAAAATAAATAAAACGGAGAAGGCAAGCTTCGTCTAAAATTAAAAAGGTAGTTTTTTTTGACATGCTTTATTTGTTTGTTTTAATTTTCTCTTTTCTTTAACATTCTCTTTAATGTGAACACAACATGTTTTGGAGGTTTGGGATCTCTTTAAGAGCATTGATCATTTTATTTGTAGATTACACTTATATAATATATATATATATATATATATACATATATATATATATATATATATATATATATATATATATATATATATATATATATATATATATATATATATATATATATATATACAGGCCTTGCCGGGAACAAATGAGCACGAGAGCGGAGAAAAGCTCTACCAAAACGGTATATATATATATATATATATATATATATATATATATATATATATATATATATATATATATATATATATATATATATATAATTCTATAAATAAAATAGAAAATAAATAATAATGAATAAAAGATTTCAACTAAAATTCTACATAAAATCTCCTAATATGTGTAAAATTCTAAAACAAAGTTAAGTAGTTCTAATTAGGGTTTTTTGGTTTCGGGTACCTGGACTCGGACACGGCGAATCCGTGGATAAATACCCGGATTCGATACCCGGTTTAAGACTCGGCGAGTCTCATGATTTGACTCTTCGGTTTTGCCTGAACGCATTGGAACGCCGTCACACTGTATCCCCATCTTTTTTTTAGCTTGAAATTTAGACCATGGCTTTTTTGATGTTTTGAGAACATTCAAGTTTATATATGTTTCCATGTATGTCCAAATAGACACTAACCTCATAAATTTCTAATCAAATCTGTTTATTGTATATGCGATTGTTTTAAAAGCATTCGCTAATATAAAAACTTTTGATTAGAAAGATTGAAGTTAATAAGTTAATTCATTTAGCGCGTATTTAAAAAAAACAAAACACATTTCATTTGTTAATTAAATAGTTGATTAATATCTCCATTTTAGGAAAAAAGTAGAGCATCATACGTTTAATGTGACATTTTACACAGCGCTATTATGCCGAAGAATTCAAAAGTGTGGGACTATTTCACCTAATGTACTGATTTGAAAAGTGGTAAATGCAGTAGGTGTTCAACAATAATATCAAACAAAGATGGAAATACTTCATCAATGATTAAGCATTTAAAAGTTAAACATAGAATTTCTTTACCAACACGAGAAGAAATAGGAGAAAATTCCACCAACAAACGATTTAAAACTATGGACACTTTCGTTTGTGTTGCAAGAAAGCCTTTAGAAGAAATTGTTGCTAAAATAGCCGCTCTTGATGGTATATCAGTTAGGGCAATTGCTAAGTCTAGCTTTATTCGTGAAAGTTTAGTAAAATCAAGTTATAATCTTCCTAAAGCCAAAAGAGATGTTATGAATTTAATTCATAAATTTTTGAAAAAAAGAAGTCGGAAATATTAGAATTGTTACAAGAAGAAGTTAAAGAAGGCCGGCAATTTAGCATTACACTTGATGAATGGACGAGTATGAAAATTCGGAAATATCTAAATATCAATTTGCATGGAATTTCTAACTTGTGTACAGCTGTACTGTTAGTTGAAAAAGTAGAACAACATTTAAACACATATAATATTCATTTTTAAAAACATATAGTTGGTTCAACCGGCGATGGTGCAAGTGTAATGATAAAATTTGGACAAGAATCTCCTAGTCTCTATAATTTGTGTTTTCTCTATAATTGTGTGTGAATCACACTATAAACTTAGCTGTTTGTGATGTACTATAAAAAAAGAAAAATATTGCCGTCTTACAAAATAAAGATGGTATTGATGGTGATGGTAATGACCATGGTCAAGATGGGATTGATAATAATCAAGATGAAAATTATTATTCTGACGAGAGCGATGATGACGTCGAAGAGTACAAACATGTTGAATTAACAAATTTAGGAAATATAGAAGAAAATATAAAAGTGTTTGAATAATTGTTAAATTTTTTAAAAATTCTTCTGTGCGAAATAATATTTTGCAAGAAAAGATCAAAATAGTTTTAGGAAATGAACTTCAGCTAGTGTTAGACGTAAGAACTTGTTAGAACTCATTGCTCGAAATGGTATCTAGATTTTTAAAATTATTTTATATCGTTAAAGAAGCTCTTCAAGATATTGGAAGTGTACATTTAACAGAAAATATTAATATTGAATTATTACATGAATTGAAAAATACTTTAAAGCCTATTAAATTAACTGTTGAAGTTCTTAGCAGAGACGATACTAATATTGCCACAGACTGATTAGCAATTGATTTTATGTTAAGAAAAGTAAAAGAATCCAATGGTAACATAAGTAGAGAACTATTTATGACGATGAAAACTCAAATAAATAGCCATAAAAACCAAGAATTAGAAGAGCAATTAAATTCTCTTGTAAATGGTACTATGCCTTCAGAGAAAATACAAACATTTACTACATATTTAATGAAAAGATTATTTGATGGGGATGAAGAACAGCAAAACGCACACTATGAACAGGAACATTCAACTGAAAATAATGAAAATACTGCAGGAAACGCAGAAGATTTAACATGGAAGAAGAACTACACAAAATATTAGAAAGTGCGAAATGTCCAAATTTGCCAAGTTGCAGAGATGAATTTGCTGATATTAAAAAAGAATTTTTATTGTTTTCAAAAACTAAAAAAAGAACTGCATATTTAGAAAAACTGTATCAAGCGTTAATGACAATAAAACCAACATCAACATATTCTGAACGACCATTTTCTGTAGCATCTAACTTCTGTGCAAGAATTCGTTCTAGATTATCCGACAACTCATTGAGTGCATTAGTTTTTTTAAATTTTTATTCTTTAAGTAAAAAATAATTTCTCTGGTATGTATTAAACACTTATACATATTTTAATTTAGTTGAGTTTATTATTGCTAGTATATTTGCACGCATTTTATCATAAATTATGTTTGTAAATACTAAAGCAATATTTTTTTATAGTAATGTCAAGTTTATTTGGTAGTTTAAGATCATAATAAAGGTATAAGCTGGATAATAGTCATTTTATTTACCATAACATACACCAAATCCATTTTTTAAAATGGACGTGAGAACAAAAAATCATTTTATGCTATTGTTAAAATTGCGAGTTAAAAAAACCTATTAGATCCAGACTTGAACCCGGACCCGATAAACATTCGTAGGCTAGGCTCGGATTTGTCAGGTTTAAAAAAACAAATTTTTCCCAAACCCTAGTTTTAATAATAGCTATTATAAAGATTTTTGCACTATTAGGGAGCGCTCAGAAAACTTAACATCTTGTAGGCTCATTGGTAGTGTGCTTTTTGGTGCAAACAACCATTACCAAACTATTAAAATCTATTTTTTATCAATATTTGTAATTTATAAAGTTTTTTTTTTACCATTGCAATAATTTAGCTTACTTTGCTTTTATGATTATTTTATAAATTTGATTGCTTAACTTTAATTTTAATTTGATTACTTGACGTTCATTTTAAAGTTAATGACTATACATATAAAAACCAAAACATTCAAAATGATTTTAAGCTTGTTAAAAAATTGGTAGTAAAATTACATACCAAGGCTACTTCCAGACAACAGTTCTTAAAATAATTTTTACAGAAAAAATCTAAATCTTTTGTTATAACTAACATACCTAGCTCCAAGCCCTCTGTACAGCCCAAACCAACCATCAACAGCTTTTATATGTCCAGCTAAAAAAAATACCTTTTACAAAATTTCATGCATGAAGCTTAATGGGATAACTGAAGTGCAAACATATCAAAACAAATATTTCAGAAAAAATAAAAGCATAGCTATCTAAATAAATTATACATGAAAGGAGGTCATCATGCCTCAGATAATACTGTTTTCAACTTGTTTATTCATGCAGCAGTCTTTTTCATTTTTTTGGTCACCATGGAGCACCACAAAATAGCATTTAATGAGGAAGGAATCCCTTCTGTCTTCCTCTTCAATGTCGCTTTTAAAGCCAGAGCATGAAACTTTTTTGTTTCCAAAATCAGCCATCTAACTACTTGTACAATGGCTGCTGACTTTTGTGACTTGTTTATCAAGACTGTTGTTTTGGAGTTATAGAGTCAAGAAAACTAATTAAAACTGTGGTATAAAGTTCAAACAAAATATGATATAAAGTAAAAAAGTTCATTTCAATAAGCGATCTGCATTAGAGATCTTTATTTTTTACTAACTGGACAAATAACAGTCCTAATCAAAAATACTTTTAAAACACCAAAAAATTTAAATTATTTTATAGTACATTCCAAAGAATCTCTTAAAAAAGAGGATTAATAGTGCTGAAAACACTATAATAAGTACAATGTATTTTAAACGCTATGGCTAATAACATAGATCATCCCAACCATATTTTAAAAATCCGGAATACTGTTTGGGTAAAATATCTGGAGAAAATCTGAAATATTTTGTTTTTAAGTAAATTGTTTGTAATTTTTTTTCAAACTTTTCTTAGTTTTGTATAAGTAATGAGTAAAAAAGCTTAAAAAATAAGTATATTACAAAAATATACACCTAAACTTGCATGTATGGAAAACGCTTTGGATATCTGGAAAAACTAAAAGTTGAGAAAAATACCCAGAATTCCAGAAATATCCGGAAAAAGATAATTCCTGTAATAAGGTTCAACACATGCAGACCTTTTAGTTGATTTTGATGTTAATAAGACTAAAAGTTTCTGTTTTAACTTAAAAATTTTCATAGAACTTTTAAAATTCTACAAAAATACTTGATTATAAAATGTAAAAAGAAAGATTTTAAAGAGTCTGATTATAAGAAGTAAATTTAAAAAAATACTTGTGATCTAATAAAGCAGTTTCATATTCAAAAGTTTTGTGTTTATAAAAGTGTGTATATAAACACTATCATTTGATTAAAGTTTAATTGAACATGAAAATAATACTAGAAAAATTTTACAAATTTTCCAAAAAATTTACATTATATTACAAAACCTACAAAATATTGAACTGAATAACATACCATATTCCAATACATTTGGTAGCCGATATACAGTTTTACCAAATAAAGTTGTCACCCGATGAGGGGGAATAGGCTCATATCCAACCTGTTAATAATGTTATATAGCATAAGTAAATTGAGTTATACTATCATTAGATGTTTTATTAAAAAGAAAAAAGAAATTTCCTTCATATAAGTGAATTTTCATTAAAAATTCTATAATTTCTTAAAATTAAAAATTCTATAATAACTGTCTATAGATACTTTTACATGTTAGAATTATAAAATAGTTCACAATTGAACTATATGAAGTGACTTTTTAAATAACTTAACAAGACCTTAAAGTAAAGATACACAAAAATGGGTCAAAATGCAGTAAGGAAATCCACATTGTGGCAAACAAATGGTATGACAGATAGCTGAATGATGAGAAACATAGAAATAGCAAGGTCACAAATTTCAACAAAGTTTTGTTAAAAGATTTAAAAATATGTAGTAATCGATTTTTTGATAAGGTTTCAACAAAGCAGAGGGTTGTTATTGAGGACTATTTTAATTTTAACAGAATATTAACAACACACCAATATATAGATGTTTGAGAGCTACATGGTTCCATCAGCAGACATACTTAATAATTGAAACAATTGGTGTCAGTTTAAACAATATACACTGCCTGCCCACACAACTTATTTAGTCAAAACACATATTAAAGTAAATAAAGTTTATCTATTTACCTGGCCAGCTTGATCACCAGATATAAATCTATTTGAATTTATTTAGGTCTGAAAAGACAAAGAACTAGTCTAAGTACAGAAGAGACTTGTAAACTTCTCCACTTGGAGAAGGGTTCAAACCAAAACTTGCAACCTTTTGTTAAATGCAAAAAAGATGTGTAGCTTACAAAAAAATACATATGAGATTAGAAATACTAGTTTAGATGTTATTTTAGTTTAATTTTGATTTTTTATTGATGATTTCTATTATTATGTTTTATAAAGTTTTAATATACATGTTTTAGATTGTCATTTAAAATGTAAGACTTTTTTAACAAAAATATTTCTCACAAATAAAAAATAATTCAATATATTCTTTAGTTTCTATATAATGATCTTTGAAATAAGCTTTAAGCAACAAAATAATGATTATATATATATATATATATATATATATATATATATATATATATATATATATATATATATATATATATATATATATATATATATATATTTTGTAGTAAATAAATGAGTTTTGTTGTCTAACAAAAGTTGTGAATTCTAATTCCAGACTTTAAATCCACAAGCCACTGCAAGCCTTAGGCTGATACAAAAAAAAGTTAAGACTTTTCATCAAGAGAAGAGTATTAAGTTGAGTCTTCAGGAAATAGAGCCACTTTAGATTTCATGAAGATTGTTATTGTAGATAAGAAACTTTACAGGAACAAAGGTAGAACCTTGTGGCACCCTTAAAGTTACTTGGAATAAAGAAAATGATAGGCCTTCAAGAATAACTTTACTACTGCAGTTAGAAAAAAATCATTTAATAACCACAAAACCTTTATATAAAGAAAGTAATAACATAGTAAAATCTAATTGTAGGATAGTTGGAGAGGTCAAAGTGTTTTTTAGAATTTTGAAAAATTGGAACTATTTATTTAGCACTTTATAAAAGTTTAGCAATAATTGAAGAGAGTTCTGGAAAACACTTTTTAAAGACTAAGATCGAAATTTATTTTAGAGCACAAACTGTAGAAGTGATTAATAAAGAATTAACTTTAGCATTGGAAGCCAGAGTGATTTATATAAAAATGGGTTATTCTGGTCAATTGTCAGGAAGAGTATGGCCATTATATTCAAGAGTCATATTCAGGTAAGATTTCTTTGCAAATAACTCTGCTTTATTCTAAGGAGAAGTAAAAAAATACACATGAACTAGAGATAAAATGTTAGACTTACTTTAGTTAATGACACAGTTGAAGACCAAAAGTGTCTGGAACCTAACATCTGAGATAAAATACAAGATTAAGTAAACTGAGAATAACAGAGCTTAACATCAGACAGGACTTTTTTACATTAGCTTTTTGCAATAATAAAAGGACATTTGTTTTTAAGAGAGATGTTCTTGTAAAAAAGATGAAAAAAATGATTAATGTTTAATAAAGCAACTGCTCAAAATGGTAAAAAATGTGGAGTAGAATGAGGCTTCTCATCTACTCCATTTTTTTTTTGTCTTCTTTTTTAGCAAATACTAATCCATATAAATACTAAAGTTTATATAACAATAAAAGGATATTGTATGCCTGCATCTAAATAAATAGCAAACAGATATGTTTATATCCATAATATGTATGCATAAAATGCATCTTGGAAGCTTTTATTCCTTCTGGAATAAATGGTTGGAAGCTTTTATTACTTCTCTTCAACTATAAGTCAAAGCTTTTAAGATGCACTTAAAGTATGCATAATATGGATATAAACATATCTGTTTGCTTTTTATTGAAAGAAAACTTGAAGAGAATGCCTTACATAAATGAATGAGCTTTTGTTAAGAAAAAAAAAATGCTCTAGATAGTTTATATTAGAGAAACAGCAAAAAAAAGGAAAGCTAAAGGTTTGGATGCTGATGATGTTGATCATGATGATGATGATCATCATCATCATCATTATCATCAGGCTTTAGCATTCCTATTTTATGTTGTTGATGTGATGATAATGATGATCGTGATCAAGATAATAATGATGATGATCATCATCATCATCATAAGAATAATAATGATTATGATAATCATATTGATCATAATGATGTTTATATATGCATATATATACAAAATATAACACGAATTTTGAATTTAAAAAATATACTTTAGTAGGAATGCGGAAATCCGTGTTTTACGGAACCGATTTTGTGCCAATATTCTGTTCCACATTTTTTCAAGTCTGTTAAGAGTATGGCTGGTAACAACGTGTTTTCTAGTTTTTCTTTTTAGAATTAAATATTACTTTAGATATTTTTTAAAAAGTGAAGAAGTTAAACTTATGTTTGTATTTGCTAATTTCGAAGTTACTAGTATTTATTATTAAGTTTATGGGTGTCAAATTTTTTGATACCAATTGCTCATTAAATTCATATTGAAGGAAGGTAGTGCGTACTTTTAAAAATATTTGTGTTTGTTTTTATATCTATTTTCTAAGTTCCTACCAAATTTTATTGCATTATTTGTATGCAAACACACATTACTACAATGCACAAAAAAGGTACATAATTTCGGATATTTTACGCCTCGTATGAGGGGGACTATCAGAAACTTCATCCAAAATAATACTTCATAGTTTTAATTAAATTTAAAAATTTTGTATTAAAAGTTTTAAAAATATATTATATAATTATAAATGTGTATTTTATTCAAGAAATTAATATATATATATATATATATATATATATATATATATATATATATATATATATATATATATATATATATATATATATATATATATATATATATATATATATATATATATATATATATATATATATATATATATATAAACAATGCATATATATTTTTTTTATATTTTTAGACATTGATTATCTTTTTCAGTTATAATATAACTTATTAAATTATATTATAACTACAAAAGATAATCAATGTCTAAAAATATAAGAAAAAAATAAATGCATTGTTTATATATTATATATATATATATATATATATATATATATATATATATATATATATATATATATATATATAATATATATATATATATATATATATATATATATATATATATATATATATATTATATATATATTACATATATATATATATATATATATATATATATATATATATATATATATATATATATATATATATATATACACATATATATATCTATATACCAGGGTTGGCATTAAAAAACCCGCCCAATAAAACCCAAAAAAACCCGCCTAAAAAAACCCAATAAAACCCTGGAAAATCTGGGTTTTATTGGGTTTTTTTAAAGATATTTAATAAGTTTATGAACTATTATAACCAACTTTAACATTATAACTATAATATTATTTACTAAAATAACTATTAACTATTATTATTAACTTAATTATTATTAACTTTTATTATTAACTATTATAACCAACAATAACAGCTATCAGAGCAGGTTTACTATTATTTGAATCATTATTTGAAAATACATTACTACAATTTTTATTCAAATATTTTTATCGATTGAGATTTTTATTACTTTATGTTATTCACCTCCCAAGTTGAATTTAAATGAGTAGTAGTGACCAGAGAAGCCAACACAACAGTCGAGGAGGCTACCTTGTTGTGGTTTTAACCCTCTCTCAACTCTTACGCGGTAGTGGTGTTGTGGTAGAGCGCTCACTTCATAAGTGAGAGGTTCCGAGTTCGATCCCCACCACGTCCCTGGCAGTACCGCGCTTAACTCCTTTCTCCGCGCAGCGGCCTTGTTCGTCAAGGTTCGTGTTTCGGAGTTATAGAGTTGAGAGAGGGTTATAACCACAAATAAGCAGCCTCCTCGCCTGTAGTAGCCTTAAGCCTTGAGGAGGTGAATTGATTTAAAAAAAACAAAAAACTCTTTAACTCCTAAACACGAATCTTTATAAACAAGACCGCTGTGCAGAGGAACAAGTTTGTTCATTCGAATTTCAAGTTCAAAGTTTAATTGAAACTTCAGTTACTACCTCCCATTCTCTAGCCTTCTTTTTCACTTTTTCTCATTGACATTTTTAAATATATAGAATAATACCTTTAAATTTAAAATAAATCAATACATATAAGTTAAGCGTGAAATTTTTTTTTTCTATTATATTTTTAAATTATATTTAAAAATCTTTTTCAAAATAATTTGAAAAATTCTTGTTATAAATAATTAAACAACAATATATGAAATATATTTTAAATAAAGTTAAAGTAGAAAAAAACTAATTTTCAATATCATTAAACAAAAAACACAAAAAAAATTAAACCTAAAAAAACCCAAATTTACCCAATAAAACCCAAAAAAGCCCACTGGGCCGAGTTTTTTTAAAAAAACCCGGGTTTTTGCCAACCCTGCTATATACATATATATATATATATAT